AAAAAAAGAGGAGCCAGCCTGGCCATGCTGGGCCTGGTGATTCCTGGAATACAACACGCTGGTCCAGGCCAGTTGCCTCAGCCCCACAGGAACAGCCCCATGAGGCCAGCTGGACCATTCAACACTGAAAACGGGGCAAGGCAAGAAAGAAAAACACTTTTCAAGGTTCATATTTAGTAGAGAAGGTCCTCTCTTCTCTGGCTGAAGACCCTGGTCCAGCAGAGAGCTTAAGTACATGGGGAGAAATAAAGGAGCCTGTTCAGTTGCTTTAAAAGAAATTGTAAAAATTTAAAAAATGCTTGTTTGGAAAGAGGCCATGGTGTCCATCAGGGAAATTAACCTGATGGGTTAGCTGCCCCACCGGTGGCCCTGCCAACCATCCCCATCAGTGACTCCTACCAAACAAAGTCACTCACGGAAGCAGAGAAGGGACTTTAAACAGTGACACGTACATGAGTTCTTCATTAATTATGCCATATGCCACCCATTTGTGAGTCTCTGCCTTGAACTTTGACCATGGCAAACAGGATTCCAGTGGCAGGCAGGGAGGCAGAAATAGGTTTCCTCACAAGGGGCATTTTAGACCCTTTGAAGTAACTTATAAACTGATCAAAGTTTAATACTGGACAGAGTCATTTCCCATCTTACAAAAGCTACTGTATTTGAACGTCCATCTGGATAAAGAGGGGTTTTCAAATAGATAAATCAAAGATTTCTCTCCCTCTCACCCCACCAATATCTAAAGTAAATGGAGAAGAAAAAGTATCCAAATGAGTCCAAGTTAGACAAATAGCTCTCCCCTCCATGAACATTTACTTGCTTAACAGTAAACAACAAAGGAATTTATGAAGATTGTAAACCTGGCAGTTAAAATAATCCAACAGATAAGAATGCCTGTCGTCAGGGATAAACCAGTTCACTGCTCCGAACGCAGCGGAGAGGGTTTGTCACATCTGCACAGATAACCCTGACTTTGCAAATCATTTTCGGGCACTATTTTACAATTACAGTAACATACATCTGAGTGTGTTTTTCACATCCGATCACGTGACTAATCTCAGCTTCCAGCTCAAATACCTGCCAGGAGTTTTATTTAGACAGTGCCTCACCCAATACCTTTGCTTTATGAACGTGGGGCCGGGTCTCACGCCCCACGGTGTTTATCCTCTGCTCTTGCCAGTCTGTGCAAATTATCCACCTTAATCAACAATTTGGTCTCCACAACACCTCTCCACTCCTAATTCCCACCATTGACACATACAAGTACACGGATCCTCCTCAGGTCCGTCTGGTCTCTATCAGACCCCAATGCTCACAGCCTCTCCAAGGTCCCTCCATAACCTATTTCCATGGCAGGATGTGCTGGTTCCCTGCCTGCTGCTGGACCAGGCTCACCTTTTCCTGCCTCTTAGTCTCTGTCCCACTTTGCATCTCCCTGGGCTTTTATAGGTAAGAACACAAATTCCTTCCTCAGGAGCTCTCATCCTCCTCCGTTGCCCTCTGAGGCACAGACCTCATGGTTCCCTGCCTGCTGCTGGACCAGGCTCAGCTTTTCCTGCCCCTTAGTCTCTGTCCCACTCTGCATCACCCTGGGCTTTTATAGGTAAGAACAGGAACTCTCTCATCCTCCTCCATTGCCCTCTGAGGCACATACCTCAGCCAGTTCTGGGCTCCCCAGGACAGGGAACTGCTGGAGAGGGGACAGCAGAGGCTACAAAGATGATGAGGGGACTAGAACAACTCTCTGACAAGGAAAGGCTGAGGGACTTGGGTCTTTTTAGCCTAGAGAAGAGAAGACCAAGGAGGGACCTGATCAATGCTTATAAATACTTAAAGGGTGGGTGCCAGAAGGATGAGGCCAGGCAGTGGTGCCCAGGGACAGGACAAGAAGAAATGGGCACAAACTTGACCATAAGAAGTTCCACCTAACATGAGGAGGAACTTCTTCACTTTGAGGGTGGCAGAGCCCTGGCAGAGGCTGCCCAGGGAGGTGGTGGAGTCTCCTTCTCTGGAGACATTCAAAACCCACCCGGACACATTCCTGTGGGACCTGCTCTGGGTGGACCTGCTCTGGCAGGGGGTTGGAGGAGATGATCTCTAGAGGTCCCTTCCAACCCCATGTGATTCTGTGACACTACCCATTGGGTTATTTAATTAGCTCATGAGCTGAGATTGCTACTGGGTACAGACAGATTTTCACCCGGCCCTTTCTCCTTCTCTGTTTCCATTTTGTGGCTCTTGATTGCTTCTCTTCTGGGACAAAGACTGTTTTTTTGTGCCGTGCCAGACCCTGACCCCTGATACAGCACTGCTGTAACAAAGAGTCAGCCTCAGAAAAACAACTTCCTAAACCTCAAAAAGGCAATGTCTCATCACTGGGAGAAGGCACAAAGACGAGAAATCAGCGGGGAAAAAAACCCAGGCAACAGTCACCCCTGGAGACAGCAAAGAGCCCCTCCAAATTTCACATCCCAATTTGTGCCTTGCTTTAAATACACTCCATTTTTCCAGCTCTTGCTTTAAAACCAGGCTGGAGGATTTATGCAAAGCCAAGCTGAAGTTTCCAGTGTCACCACCAACACAAACACCAAACACCCAGCAGGACTGATTCTGGGGTTGCCCCACTGATGCCCCCAGACCCACAGTGAACATGATGGATCTGCTCTGCCCATGGCACCTGGGGCTCCCTGCCAGGAGGGTTAATTGCTCTGTGGCTCTTCAGCTGACCCACAGCTGATTCAGCAGCAAGTCATTATTTTCCCTGATGCTACTGAGTAGGGCAAATGGGGCAAGAGTGTCCTGCTGCTGGTGGATGGGCCACCGATAGTCCAGCAAGAAAGAGCTGGGATCTGGCCCAATAAGCCTCCCTGGACTACTGTGGCAGAGACACATTGGCCAGGCCTGTAACTTGCCCATCCAAACCCCCCCCCGCCTTTGTCTTCTGGAGAAAGTGATTAGGAGAGGGAAAAGCTTTGGCTGCTTTCCCAGTCGGGCACGTTCTCCTTCCCTTCTCCTCCCCAGGAGCACAGCAGAGGGAACGAGGTGAAACGGGACCATTTCCTTTTCCTTCCTGAATTTTTTTCCCCTTTCCCCTGTTGTCACCCGAACACGTGGCCTGGCCGTGCTGTCACTGGCACAGGGACAACTGCAGCAGAAGACAGCCTGGCTGCTCCAAGCAGGAGCTGCAGCAGAAGACAGCCTGGCTGCTCCAAGTAGGCAAAGCTCCCAGCTCCTCCTGCCTTGCAGTCCCCTCTGCTGGCAGATGCAGGTTCTCCCCATCCACAGAGACCAGGGTGGAGAGAAAAAAAGTCACCTTCACCCACTGCTGGGGAGTTACACACACCACGAGGATGCCACACGCTTCCTGAGGCTGCCTCCCCCTCACAGGGAGCCCCGGGAGCAGCCCAAAGCCTGGGGTGCTCTTTAATGACACAAACTCCGTGTAAATACAAGTGCCAAGAGCAAGGTTCGGGTGGCCACGTGCTTCAGGACACAGTCAGTGCAGGGATGGCACAGCAGGAAAGTATGGTCACATCTGGGGATGTCACCACCTCACCAGAGCTGCTCCCAGCCCAGATCATGCACAGGAGGGGAGGAGAGCGTGGAAACCAGGCTGGGTTTATGGGAGAAAAAAAATCAGGGTAATCCAGCAAAGCCACCTGAAGGACAAAGCAAGTAGCAAAAAATCCTCTCTCAATCAGCAACACCAATTGTCACCACCACAAGGGCTGATTTGGGAAATTTTGGGTGTAAGGCAACGGGAGGGGATGGAAGGGCTGGAGGGGTCAGCTGCTGGGCTTGGGGCTGTCTCAGAGAGCAGGTAGATTTGCCACACAGAAGCTCCTTGGCCAAAGCCCATACATCCTGTAGATGCCACCTCAGCACACAAGACTAACATTTGCCCACGGCTTGTGCGAGCAATTTGCCCAGGACAAATTCCCTCTGCCAGGGAGCTCTGCTGCATGAGCCAAGCAAAACACAAGTCCCTTTAGCTTGGCAAAGCACAGTTTAACCCCCCTATTGAAACTCCCAAGCCAGTTTTGGAGAAGCCAGTGGGGACCAACTGGTGTGTACAGAGCATTTGCAGACAGGAGCTGCTGGACCGGGGCCAGACCCGCCAGAACTGATACAGGATGAGATAAATATGCAAGTGGTGAAACTCGTTATGAAAGTCCTTGCTGCGTTACGAAACCCTGATCTTTCACCGCCACGGACAGGCTGGTACTGACAACCAGAAGAAATGCTTTCCATGGAGACTCTTTCATGCCCGTGCCCTAATGAGCAGACAAACAGCAGACAGGGGCCAGACCCGCCAGAATTGATACAGGATGAGATAAATATGCAAGTGGTGAAACTCGTTATGAAAGTCCTTGCTGCGTTACGAAACCCTGATCTTTCACCGCCATGGACAGGCTGGTACTGACAACCAGAAGGAACACTTTCCATGGCGACCCTTTCATGCCCATGCCCTAACGAGCAGACAAACAGGAGTTCCACCCTTTAGAGATGGTTTCACCACCAGTTTATGGTACTCACACACATACCCCCCCATCAAAGCTTTTTCACCCTTTTTCTCCTCTTTTCCTCTCAACTCCAGCACTTGGCCACATTCATGATGGACAAGAGCGAGTCCATCGTGACGGTGGACGATGCCATCCGAAAACTCATATTGCTCAACTCCAAAGAGAAGATCTGGACGCAGGAGATGCTGCTGCAAGTGAACGACAAGTCCATCCGCTTGCTGGACTGCGAGTCCCAGGTACCCTGAGCTCAGTGAGAGCCACCCCCCTGGGGTATGCTCTGTGCCCTTCCTATTCTGTCCAAAAAAGGAACTCCAAAAAAAGACAAATCACTACCAAAATCCACTCCTGGGTGTGCGGGGGTTGGCAGACGCCACCCTTTAGAGATGGTTTCACCACCAGTTTATGATACTCACACACATACCCCCCCATCAAAGCTTTTTCACCCTTTTTCTCCTCTTTTCCTCTCAACTCCAGCACTTGGCCACATTCATGATGGACAAGAGCGAGTCCATCGTGACGGTGGACGATGCCATCCGAAAACTCATATTGCTCAACTCCAAAGAGAAGATCTGGACGCAGGAGATGCTGCTGCAAGTGAACGACAAGTCCATCCGCTTGCTGGACTGCGAGTCCCAGGTACCCTGAGCTCAGCGAGAGCCACCCCCCTGGGGTATGCTCTGTGCCCTTCCTATTCTATCCAAAAAAGGAACCCCCAAAAAAGACAAATCACTACCAAAATCCACTCCTGGGTGTGTAGGGATTGGTAGACACTAATTGAGAAGACAGGTAGGTGTGGGGTGATTTACTCTCAGCCCCAGACACAGGTACGTCAGGTGGAAGATACCTCGAGCTGTGCTCCAGGGCCAGCAGTAAATCTGCTTTCTGTGGGAGAGATGCAGATTTAACAGATCCACAGAGATCTGCATAAACAGAGAGAACAGGACATGCTACTTGAATTTAAATAACACGCAGGATCACCTGCCTGAGAACAGTGCCCCATTTTGACAGGGGATACGTGTACATGCACACGGGGCACCTAACAGAACTAGGAGAACTAGGAAAACTAGGAACTAACTGCTAGAAAAAATCAAAGATTAATTTTATACGCAAAAATAACGGGGGGAAGGAGGAGCCAGATGGGGGAGAGGACTGGTGCTGCCCTGATTTTAGCAATGAGAAGCTAAAGAATATCAGCCCAAGGTCATGCAAGGAGAGAGGAGGAGGAGGAGGAGGGTAAGCCCCTCACAGAAAGTCTTTTTTCCTCCCATTGCTCTGCTGGGATGTGTGACAAGCAAACTGGTGCAGGTAGAGCAAAGCAAGAAGATGGAAAGCAACAGAGCTCAAGTTATTGAAGTCTCATGCTGGGCCCTGTATTGAGGGCTCAAAGGAGAGCAAGAGCTCACCTCTGGGTTCCATCCACCCCTCTCCTAAACCACTGCCCCTCCACAACCCTTGGCACGTGTCATTGAGGAGCCCAGCAAAACTCCTCAAAAACCCATAGAATGGTCTAGGTTGGAAGGGACCTTTAAGATCATTGATCCCAACCAGTAAAGTGCCTTTGTTCTGGGAGGTGTGCTTTCAAAGTGGTGTAGCCTCTGACAGGGAGTCCAGTCTTACAAAACGATTTTAAAGGGGTGAGTGGACTAGGTTTTCTCTTTAAATTAAAGTTATCTTTGTGTATTAAATTAATCTTTGATTTTTGCTAGCATAAGACCAGATGGGTAGTAAGTTGCACCACCTAGAAAGTCTGGGCAGTAAAAGGTGTCCATTTTCTTGGGGAAAGACTATAAATGCAACAAGGTGTGATGAAGCTTGTCAGGGCAGCTGAAGGAGGGAGGTGCAGTATGAGGCTCCACCAAGCTGCTGATGGAATTTCCAGGCATGGATTCAAGGGACAGTAGCTGCAGAAACACTGACCCTGCTCTGCCAGGTCTCTCTCCTCACACAGGACCATTCCCCATCAGTTCAATGGCTCCCCAGGGCCTGACCCCTTCCTCTTTCTCTTCCAGGAGGAGCTGGAGGACTTCCCCCTGCCCACGGTCCAGCACTGCCAAACGGTGCTGAATCAGATGCGCTATTCCTCCATCCTCCTCCTCGTGTGTCAGGATTCGGAGCAGCACAAACCCGACATCCACTTCTTCAACTGCGACGAGGTGGAGGTGAGCAGAGCCCTCCTTGCTGGTGTGAAACAAAGAACAAAATGCCCTCCTCACCGCCCACCGGCCCCTTCTTCCTCTGCCCACTTAAACAGCCTTTCATCTTTTCCAAAGCAAAGCCCTTAAAAACATTCCCTCTTTTATCTTTGAGGCGGAGATGGTTCACGAGGACATAGAAAGCGCCCTGGCAGACCACAAGCATGGGAAGAAGATACGGCCACAGACACTCAAGTAAGTCCTGCAGGGCACAGCTGGGAGTTCAAAAAATTAAATTTATAATGGTGCATTGACACAGCAGTCTCCGAAACAGGACCAGCAGCCACTGATGGGGTTGTTCTCCCTTGTTTCCTTTGCAGAGCAAACCAAGAGAAGATCAGACAGAGACAATCCATCCTCCCACCGCCGCAAGGGCCGGCTCCCATCCCGATCCAGCACGACATGCGAGGCTCAGGGATGAACAAGAACCGGGTGGCACCCCCTTCCCAGCACGATCCAGGTACCAGGAGCACTCAGCAAAGTCTGGCCTGGGGACAGGGGACTCATCAGCCCAGCCAGACAACCCTCCTGTGATGGTCTGTGGTACTTCCCCAGAGCACAGGGAAGCCTGGTGGTTTTTCAGTGTTATGATGAAACACACACACACCAAAAGCACAACAATTTCATAGAATCATTCAGGTTGGAAAAGACCCTTGGAATGATCGAGTCCAACCATCTACCCTACTCTACAAAGTTCTCCCCTACACCATATCCCCCAACACCACATCTAAGCGACTCAAACACATTCAGGGATGGGGACTCAACCCCCTCCCTGGGCAGCCTATTCCAGTGTCTGATAAAATTTGCTGCACCTCTGGCTGTGCTTTATAAATGCTTAAAGATTGACCCCCAACACCACATCTAAGCGACTCAAACACATTCAGGGATGGGGACTCAAGCCCCTCCCTGGGCAGCCTATTCCAATGTCTGACACAACTTGCTGTGCTTTATAAATGCTTAAAGATTGGGCCACAGCAAACATTTCTACCCACTGGGCCAGCGATAGGCATCTTCTCCATGGCAGCTCAAAAAGTCAAAGCTCCTAGAAACCCCTTGTAACATCACCTATATTTGGGAGGTACCAAAATTCCCAAAAGAGGTGGAAGCCCCTTGTAAAACTGAGCAATCACATGAAGTTTGGATCAGGCACCAGCAATCTTGAAACGTACAGACGTGGTGAAAAAGGGGAATTTACAACTCCACTGACTTCACAGGAGCCAAGATTTCACCCTCAGAAATTGCATGGTTTGCACGAACTCTCCTAGAGCTGAGCGTGGACATGCAGGTCTGAGCTCATCTCCCTTGTGCTAAGCTCAAATCTTCTTCCAAAACCATCCTGACTTCAGCCCATTTGAGCTGGCTTGGAAAAAAAAAAAAAAAAAGCAACTTGTATTTCTTTTTGGAGAAAGAAATACCAGAAATAAGCTCTTTCTCTGACAAAAGCTCAAATTGACTAAACCAACACGCAAACTGTAAGCCTTTCTTATCATTGCCTGTTGTACCACCTTCTCTCAGGGTGAATTTCTAGGTTGAAGGAAAACAGATAATCAGGATACTTTAAGAAATTCCAAACACCAGCTGGGGAGAGAAAACACTCGATTCCCAGGTGGGATCTGAAGCCGAGCAGCTGCTCTGGCCTCCTGGAGGGAGAACCTATTTCAGGTCCAGTTTTGGGTGATGAAAGTAAGATTCATATTTCGGAGCTGGGCCACGTCTGAACATCCCTGTTCTGACGCACAGCGGTTTTTAATGAAACGGCCACCGTTAGCTCTGCCCTTCCCAGGATAAAGCTTTAAGCCCGGTGCTGACATCAGCTGAGCTGGGCATTTACCCAGGTGGGATTTCTGGGTCTGAGGACACCGAGTCTGGCACGAAAGGAGGAAGCCACAAACAATGCGCGTTTGCTGAGATCCCTTCTCCTTTGAAACACGCCTTATTGCTTTTTCTACAAACCCCGCCAAAACTAATCACCTCCTTTTAACACTTCAAGGCGACGCACATTTTTCACGGTTCTTCTGCCAAAACTGCCTCCCCAGTTCTCCCACCTAATAAATCCTGGCCCTTCCAAACCCCATTTCACCCAGCTGACATGCCATCCTTTTCCACCAGAGGCCACCCAGCAATTTCTGATGCTGAAATATCACCCTCTCTCTGGTATTCTCATCTTCTGGAAGCTGGGAGGTGCCTGCGTTGTTGGTTTTTTATCACAGAAGGATATTACACCCAGCAATTTCTGATGCTGAAATATCACTCTCTCTCTGATATTCTCGTCTTCTGGAAGCTGGGAGGTGCCTGTATTGCTGGTTTTTTATCACAGGAGGATTTTTTTTTTTTAATACCCATTAAGAACACTTGAGAGACTGCACACGAGGTTGCCCCAAAAATGCAGATTTGTGCATGGCCCTGCCTAAACATCAGTCATGCAGAATTCCTGGCACACTGCTCTCTAGCAAGTGACAGAAGAAATAAGAGGGGGTGAAGTGAATGCAACTTTCTCAATTACTCTTGAGTTAAACTGGTACCTCTGGGGCAAGGAGGGCTCCTGCAGCAACCTGGGGGTTAGGAGGAGGGTGGGAGTTACTCAGGTGGCACTTCCCACACACGTGGAGGGCTCTGCAATGCCTGTGGTGGCTCTTTGGCTCCTCTGCGGGTGTAAATCAGCTCAGAGGGATCAAAGGCAAAGGAGCTGGTGACTCAGAGCATCTGCAGCCCAGGGCTTGCAGGTCTCTGCCCAGAGCTGGCACCTGGCTGCTCTTCACCCCTCAGTCACCCCTTCTATTTGAAAACAGGCAGTGTATCGACACCTTGAAAGATTTAATCGGCAACTTTGATCACCTCCTGCTCCTTGTGATCTCCCGAGGTGCTCTCCTAACCCGGAATAAACAACCATGCTGGGAGTTACCATCCCACAGGTTCCCTGCATTTAGTGGAGCTTATTTTCTTCCTCTGATAATAAAGATATTTTTCTCTCCCTCCCTTGTTTGCAGACTATGAGCGACGAGGCTCCAGCTCTCATGACCACGAAGAGTCCCGGGCTGTCTTAGCACAGAAGATTGAAAAAGAAACGGTTGGTAATAATAACAATGCACAGTCAATAGGCAGGAGAGGGAGAAGAGAAGAAGGAAGTGAGGTTCCTCCACGAGCAGATGTTTTATCCATAGTCCAGTCGTTGTCAAACTGGTACTTACGATTCATAAAGGGGAACAAAAGCAAAGCTCCATCCTTGGGTCAGTCACAACCTCCTTTGACCTGAGGTAGCCCTGCTGGTTTCAGAAGATCTGCTCCTCCCCAGCCCACAGTCCCCTCTCGGGGTTCTTTTCCATAGGTCCATTATCAGGGGTCACTTGCCACATTGATAAATACCACACACACAACCAGGCACGGCTTTGTATTTGGAAAGCGATGAATTGAGCTTCATGTCATGCCTGGATTCCCCATTCCTGTCCATTCTTCCAGGAAATTAAGCCAGCTCTGGGACTGGGGCTTCCCAGCTGCGCCCAGTTTGGGCTCTCTCTCTCTCACCAGGGTTTGTGGCATTTCTGTCCCCACAGCAAATCCTGAACTGCACCCTGGATGACATCGAGGTGTTTGTTGCCAGGCTTCAGAAGGCCGCAGAGGCGTTCAAACAGCTCAACCAAAGGAAGAAAGGGAAGAAGAACAAGAAGAAAGGGCCAGCAGGTACCCTGCAGCAGAGAGAACAAATGGGGGACACAGGGGCACAGATGGAGGGTGGGAGGACACTTCAGCTTACACCCCAGCAAGGCCAGGTTGGACCCAACAGCAGTAAGACTGGTTTAGAACATGCTGCTGGTCTGTAGAGACCTCTTGTAGAGCACAAAGAGCCTCGTGAAGCCTCCAAAGCAGAGAAAGACTTTGGGCTTTGCTTGAACCCTTGATTTTCAGTAGTTCTACTCTCAACACCCATTACTGCTGTGTCTAGCAGGATGAAACTTTCCTGAAAAGGGGTGCTCTAATTAAAGTGTCTTTCTCTCCACCTTCTCCTAACAGAGGGCATGCTGACTCTTCGAGCAAGACCCCCAACCGAGGCCGAGTTTATCGACTGCTTCCAGAAAACCAAACTGGCTTTTAACCTCTTGGTGAGACACAGAGGGCATTTTCATTTACCTGGTCGGGTGGGAGGTGTCTCTGCCCAGAGCAGGGGTTGGAACAAGATGAGCTTTAGTGTCCCTTCCAACCCAAACCACTCTATGATCCCATGCAGTGACAGGGGTGTTTCCCATACATCACACTAAAAAGCATTTAAAGTGAAATTTGAACTGAAAACACCATCAGGGGACAAAGGTGTGAACTCCAGATTCTTCAGAATCCAGAGCGAACGTTGTGTCAGGCTCGTATGGGTTTCTTGGGCCAAGTTGTTGAACTGAAACAAGAAGGATAAAGCCCAGGAGGGGACCAAACAGCCCCACAAATCCTGCATCTCCTTCCAGACACAATCCTGAGTTAAAGCAATTGTGAAGCCATGAGCTTAGGGAGCCAGGGCCTGCCGTGCCCACCTCCCCGACAGCGGTGCAAAGGCTTCTACAGACATCCCCACTCCAGATACTCACTTCTGCTCGTGGCCTTTAGCAGTCTGGGTAGTTTCCCAAGAGCTCTAGTCCTTGTTATCCCTACAAAGTATAAAACGTTGGGAGGGAGGACTGCAAGTATTAAAAAAAAAAAATAATAAAATTTAAATTGTTCACATCCAATTCTGCCTACAGAGCAGTTGTGGGAAGTCTCTGCCTAAGAATAACATTACCCTGATGTTCCAGCTCCTCTTCCTCCCCTGGAGGAGCTGTTGTCTTAAACAGGGGATGAAAACCAGGAGCACAAAGATGTCCCCAGTGCCGCAGGTCGCTTGTTGACCTCAATGAGAGCAGGAGGGTAACGAGCCAGAAGGAGATTCTGTTGGTTCTGACCCAACGTGCCCAACAAACACATCCTGACAGGGTCCTTCCTGGGGAGTTATTAGTAAGGAAAGCACAGAGATTGTAAACAACCTGAATGCAGGACACCAATTTCTTTTAGAAGCCAATTATGTCCATGGTTTTGCCTGCTCAGGGGCAGAACTGCTGTCACGTGCCACGTGGCTGCAAAGCCCTTCTGAAGTGCCATCTCATTTAGTCACCCTGTCACCACCAGTTATTTCACACTTTCCACTCCACACTAATGTCTAATCACCAGCGTTTAAAAGGCTTTAAGTTTGGGGAGGGAGGAGGGAGCCTGTTTTCCATCGCAGGGATGCTGGTGGCACGGGACACATGAAAGAGCCGAAGGGAAGCACGGACTGAAGTGGTTTCTCACCACTTCGCTGATTGCTCTTAATTAAGTGCAGTTCTTACAGCAGAGTAACCCGAAGCGTTTGCTCCTCCATCCCACCCCAGTCCACTCCAAATACCGAGCATTTCAGTGGCCAGGGCAGCCCCAGGTGCTGCAGGAAAGACCTTGATGGGGATTTGTCCCTGTCACCAACTCGCCAAGGGACCCTGCAAAACACTTGCTCTGCTGTTATTCATGGGAACTAGAGGGATTTTCAACTCTGCAAGAGTCAGAAGCAATAGTTCTGGCCCTTCCTCGCTAAGACTTTCAGAATAAGCCAAGGTTTTCTGCTTCTGCCCAGAAGAGCTTCAAAAGGGACTGATTTGAACAGTCCTGAAACTCAACACCCGTAGAAACGGGCACAATTTAAAAGTGATCTAAAACTGAATGGTTCCTCCTCCCCAATCACTCTTTTCCCTGCTTCCAGGTGCACTGCTGAAAGTTTCCTTACTTTTCAGGCTGTGTTAACTACAGCAGGTACCAGCCAGCAGCCATCCCTCCACGTGACAGAAGAGAACAAGCAAAAAAAATGATCAGGTTAGGGTTAAAGTGGGTTTTTCCTCTCTCTTTTCAGGCCAAGCTGAGAAAGCACATCCAGAACCCCAGTGCTTCAGAGCTGGTGCATTTCCTATTTGGGCCGCTGGAACTGGTAAATCTTATTCACAGGTTTCACTGGGAACTCACTTTTTATTTGTAATGTTGCTTTGGCACGTAGCTTCAGCCAGCTGTGAGCTGCCATCTGACTTGGGACAATCTGCTGCCCCTTTCTCAGTAAAGTCTAGAAGCAACAAGGCCAGTGCTTCTGGCTGCTGATCCCATTTCCAGCTCGCAGAAAATACACAAACCCTGGCAAATAGGAATCTTTCCACCCCATGAAGAAATCTTCCTGTGAGCCCAAGTGCAAGCCAGGTGTGATTCCCACCTGGAATCGGCCTCGTCTCCCCTGCAGGCAAACACGGCCCAATATTTGTGCTGAAAATAGGAAGCACAAATCCCAACTTGACAAAGAAGCCAGAAAGGACAGAGAAATAGCAAGTGATTTTTCCATAAGAGCCACCTTGTGATGTCTCCTGTCTCCAACAAGGGCTAATTTTCAGATCAGACCTTGCTTTGCCTCCAACACAATGATTCCCATGTTCCCCTGAACTGTCCCGTTTGCCTCAAAGATTTAGGCTGCTGTTTCTTGAGACAACTGAGCTGCTCCAAGGATGAGCTGCTGCCAACAGGAGTCAGGCCATCCCTTGGCATGAAGGCTTGCCCTCTGACTTCCATTTTACACCTTGGAGAGCTTAGGAACTAAATCCCTTCCTTGGCAAATTTTATTAAGAAAAAGCAAATAGACAATCGAGTACTATGGGTGCAGTGCAGGGATAATAAGGGGATGCTGAGGGAATGTAGCATCCCTTTTAAATGGCAGGAAGCCATTAATTAGTTGATCTGTGTTGTGAAACCTCAGCCCTACGTATGAAGGCACCAAGAAGAACTTTGGAAGTGCAAGTTTAAGGTGAATTAGCCTGGTTTTAGAGGCAGTCACCACGGAGGGTACATTGGCCTCCTCTGGAGCAGGCAGGCATAGAGACCCCAAAGGATCAGAGCCACTGATTTTTCCATCTTTGATGTCTGTCCCGTTGTGTGCTTGTGCTGCTTTGAGATTTTGAACATCTCCTGCACAATCCTTCACGTTCACGTGCGTTTGTGTGTACTCCAGATCATCAACAGCTGCGGTGGCCCTGAGCTCGCCAGGTCTGTCGTCAGCCCACTTCTTTCTAAAGACACCACAGATTTCCTCCGAGGACACCTCACACCAAAAGAGATAAACCTCTGGGAGTCGCTGGGAGAGACATGGACCAGATCCAGGTGAGGACAGAGCTGCCGTCCCACCGGGTTCCCCAGGAAGGCAAGGCAGGAGCCTTGGTTTTATATCCGTATCAGAGGGTCAAGGATGCCCTGATGCTTTCAGACACACGTTCCTTGTGAATCTCACCTCATATTCCCCGTTTTGTGTCCTAGAGCTGAATGGCCCCGAGAAGCAAATATCCCCACCTACATCCCCAAATTCCGCAATGGCTGGGAACCACCCATGGAAATCTTCTGTGGAGCTCCCTGGGAGATAGACATTGGGCACTTGCAAGAAGAGGTTAGTCCTATGTCACCCTCTCTCTTTTTCCCTCTCCCTCCCCCTTTTCCAGAGCGAGAGATGGATCCGTGGAGTTTGTGGTGGTGTGTAACAAGTAGTCGGCTCCAAACTCAGTTGGATCTGGTCACTCCACTTAAATATGGGAAGAAAATCGGGCCAGAAAAGGGGCAGCAATAATGACGTGGAGTTTGTGGTGGTGTGTAACAAGTAGTTGGCTCCAAACTCAGTTGAATCTGAGTTAATTTTAACCAGTTAAATACGGGAAGAAAATCAGGCCAGAAAAGGGGCAGCAGTAATCAGCCTCACCTCCTGATCAACAGGAAATAGGATGCTATACCATAACTGAGCCCCAAAGGTACCGGTTTGCCTGAAGAACGTTTCTTTGGTGTCCACCTCATCATGACCAGAAGCTCCCAGGCCACAATTCATCTACTGCTCACTCTCCTTTTCTCCCATACAGCTTTCTTCCACTTTCCTGATAACACTGACTTCGTTTTTACCTTCCCAGCTCTCCTCAGCCAATGGATACCCCTACCGTAACTCCTCGCTCAAGCGTGGCCAGGCTGGGGACCAGACACAAGCTGTGGATGCCTTCAAACAGAACGTAACTCAGCATGTAAATAGGTAACGTATGGGCACCTCAACTCCCACCTTGTCACCTCAGAAACACCCACCGCGACACCTCACCGTGTTTTGGCATCCTGGTAGATAACTCCCTGCCATTATTAATTCAGGCTCGTTAAGGAGATCAAGGGAACTCAAAGATCAGAGGAGGGATTATTCACGTAAACACTGGCTGCGTTGTAATCACCAACAGGTCTACAAGGAGAGGGGTTACAGGCGTTTTCCACCACAAGAGGCAAAAATAGAGTCACTCAGGAGGTCTTGCTCCAGAAGATCAGCCCCCCAAGGTGATATTGAGAACCACGTGCCAAAGATGCTGCGCCACACTTTTATTCTCCACATGTTTAGACAATTTAGCATCACTCCATTTATTCTGAAACCCCAATGTCTTGCATGGAAATGACCTCATAGGAGGAATATACACTAAGGCATGAGGACACGTGAGCTTTCTGTTGCTGAAAAACACTGGGAAAACTCTGAGAAAGAGCAGCTGGAGCTTGGCAGCGCTGCATGAAAACACTTCCACTGAGGCAGCACCTCCTCCCTTGGCTTTTAGGCACAACCAAAGGGAAAAAAGCATTTATTAGAGTCTGAATAAAAGGAGGATGGCGTTTCCACTCTAGCCCATCTCTCCATCGGGAAACTGACAGGGTGCTTCTTTCAGACTACTCTTCTTAATGAGATAAATCCAGAAAATGGGGGGAAAAACCTCCCCTTTCTTCAGAAGTCTTGGGAAGTTCAGTTCCCAAACCAGAACCAGCCACCCCTTATGCCTCAGGCTTTTTGCCAAGGGATAGATGGCACTCTCAGAGCTCAACCAACCACTCTGCCCCACTGTTAGTTTTCTATCACCAGTTACTCAGTGCTATAAAATCTTTATGAAAGTTCAAAGTTCATTACTCAGTGCTATAAAATCTTTATGAAAGTAAAGTTCAAAGTTCGGAGGTTTTTTTACCTCCTTGCTTCTTTACATGGGCTTACGCCTTTGAAATTTTCCCCGAGATCTCTGAGTTTCAACAAACTCTCCCCAAATTGCAAATGAATCCTCTGCCATACTCCCCTTTGCAGTGATTTGCCATCAAGTTATCAACTTAAATCTTTAAAGACTGGAAGTCCGGACCCAGCAAAGCACTTAACCATGCACTTTGCTGGAGCCAATTCTGGAAAAGCCAGACTGGCTTTTCATGGTTTTACATTCTAATCTAAAATAGCTCTACTATTAGAGCTAATAGCTCTACTATCTTTATAAGCTCTACTACTACAGAAAGGTTCAAATTCACAGCAAAATACCTTAACACCAGTTATATCAGCAAAATAACTTATTCTTCCCATTCACCCCATCAAAGGTCCTGGTGGGAAGCATAAGATGGTACAGGCGCAGTATTGAGTAGGGAAAGAATTGCAATAACAAATTCTCTTCTCCTATTCCATTTTTTCTCCATGAGGTTATGAAAAATAAGGAGAACTTAGTTTACACGAGAACATTTAAGTCCATCTTTAGTGACTGGCAGATAACACACATAAGGAAATATTTTCACCCGTTAGTCTCAGCTCAGGCAAACTATAAATAATAGTATTGAGTCCTGGAATACTAATGAAGAGTGTGCCTTTTTGCCCTGAGAGACCACCCGGTCTGACCACAGTGTGAGCTCAGGGAAGAGCAGACGAGGATCTCTTTTCTCCTGGGGTAGGGGTTGTGCCTTTTTAGCCACCTCTCAGACCCTCAAGAGGACATTTGCCTTATGGATAACATTTAAGAAAAACAAACATGGAAGTTAATGGCACCGAAGCAGATGCTAAAATAGAGAATGTGCTTCAGCCACCTTCTTCAGTCCAGAGCAGACCTTGGCCAAGCCTGCCCAGATGTTTGCCAAGATCGCAGTCCCAGGACAGACACATCTCCACACTTTTTTTCAGAGTAGTTTGAACTAGTTTTCTAACCAAGAAACGCTTTATTAACACAAATACCCATGAATCAGTATTGTTATTTACACCAGGGCTTTGGGCTGCAGAGAAGCATCACGAAAGCCCCCCAAGTAATATTACAATTATCAGCAGAGGTCACTTGTGTAAAATCCAGGTGCATGCAAAGTACACATTAGCTTCAAACTCCTTCAGCCCTCATCTCTTCCCTCATGACTCATTAACCTTCTGGAATGCTAGAAAAGAAGTAATTTCTACCTAACTTGGCTTTCCCCCCACTCCCTGCCTTCAGGGCACTGCTGGTAAGGCCACCACTCCCTTGCTGGACCAGTGATTCAATTTGAGAGCCTGCTCTGAGCTTTCCCCCACTACAGATTTATATTTTTTTATATATATATTATGTAACAGATATAAAATATAAACTTATATATTGCACACGGCTGTGCCTAGACCAAGAATTGTCCAAATCAAGCCAACTAAAGTCAACACTGCAGCCATAGCTATGATATAAAACCAGAGGTTCAGTGGTTTCAACCTTTTTCAGACCACCAATAGCCATCTAATGAAGACAGCAAAATCCACTGAAAATAAACATAACGAGCTCGCTTTTCAAAGGCAAGTTTTACAGATACCTCAGACCCCCAGATGTCCACAGACGCCCACAAAGAGTCGAGTTTCCACAGATCAAACATTTAAAATCACTGACCAAACCCAAGAACTCAGCAATATAAAGACATTGGGCTAAAAATCATAGTGGCTGGAAGCTCTGGCTTCACTGAGTTACACAGAACCAGGCACGAACTGGAGAACCTGACCCCTGCTGTGAATACAGCTCCTGGGAGCCTTCCCCATCGTGTAGCTGGGCAGGCTGCAAAGCATAAGCAGGAAGATCCATAGAAGGTGCATTAAAATAGTTCCTCCCTGCCCCTACACAACAAGGCAGGACAGTTTTTCCACACTGCAAACATTTTCAGAATTTAAAAAAAAAAACAAAAACAACCGCTATACCCATCTTAACTGGAGAAGAAAAAGATGAGATCTCCAAAATTCTCCTAAGCCAGCAAAAAAAAATTATGAAAAAATAAATCATTTCAGTTTGGTCAAAGGGAATCTTTCATTGCACTTTTTCACAATTTCCCATTTTTGACCATGTACCATATTTGCTTTGTCTCACTCCAAAAAGCCAGTTCAACACTGAAAGCTGTATATTCAGAAATTCCCAAGCAAAATACTTAAACACATTCCCTTTCCCTCCAAAACATACATTAGAATAGAAATATTCAAACTCACTTTTTCTGAGAACCCGCAGATTTCCACTCAGCAGCTCAGCGTTCATGGCCTGATGAAAACCCACACATTTCCAGTGGCTTCTACCTACACTCATTTTTCAACACCCTTTTCCCCAGCACCAGTTACTGGTTCCTGGGCAGTTGTTTCCACTTATCAGGACATGAGGGTTTCACACCTGTTTTTCACAGGAGGTCCCTAATTATTGAATGGGCCTCTGTTAAAACTCCTTTTTTTGTGTTTTTCTTTTTTTTTTTCCCTGCAGGAATTTCGAGGCACAGGGAATGGCTCTGCCCAAGAGATATGCCAAAATCCGCTACGATTTCACCGCGCGAAATGCCAATGAACTCTCAGTGCTTAAGGATGAAATCCTGGAGGTGGGTGACCACGCTCGGGGGGGAAAAGGAGGACCCTGCTCCCCTTCCTGGGAGCAGGAGAAATCCTGAGGTGCTGCCAAGTGCCAGCTCACTTTTGTTGGGTGTTTTCTGAGCAGTAACACAAAGCTTTGCTCAAATCTAAAGTTTGATGTGCCAGCTAAATCCTGAGGTGCTGCCAAGTGCCAGCTCATTTTGTTGGGTCTTTTCTGAGCAGTAACATGAAGCTTTGCTCAAATCTAAAGCTTGATGTGGAGCAGGAGGAGGAGGCTGTAACCCATGGGGTCATCTGCTCAGCTGAAACTCATCAGCCACATCTTAATTAGCAATGAGAAGAAAGCAAAACAAGTCACTGGAGCCCACTGCTCACCTGCTTGCTGGGTCTGATGGTCATTATTACCACTCACCCACCCCCGCCAAGGGAATTATTTTCTATGAAAACACCTTTTTTCATAACCCTTCTCTTAGCACAACACTGGTGGCAGCTGGAGAAGGGACACAGCCTGGTCTGTGCACTGGTTGTGGTTGTAACAGGTCTATGACTGAGAAAAAGGCTTCTCCTCAACAAAGTGGCTAAAATGAGAAACATGTGTGGGTCTTGCCAGCAAAGCTCATCCATTCTGGGAAGATTACTTAAAAAAAAACCACCAAAAAAAACCCAAACTAAATTAAAAAAAATCCCAGTTCTGGGTAAAACCAAGCCTGTTGAAAGGGGCAGGAGCAATGGGAGATATCTCAGCACCAGGGGATCTTCTTGCTGCATCGTGGGTACGATGTGGTTAGGTTGTGTGTTGTGATGGGACGCGATCAAGCTGAATGATAACACCCTGGCACCTTTGGCAGGAGGCACTCCTGATTTTTAATTGCAAAAAGACAACACAAACTCAATCACTGGAAAAAAATATATGGAGAAATGGGCAAATTAAGTAGGAAATATGAGTTCTTCAGCACCCCAGCTCTGTTTCCCTCCCCGAGATACTCTCCTGCTCATCAGTAGGATAAATTCTGACACTTTTCAGGAAAGGCTTCAGTCCTGAATTGCAAACGATCTGTTTGCCAGCTCCTGGCCTCGGTGGTGTTATTCTGACAACTTCCCATTACCGTGTGCTTTATTTCCACTCCCCAGAAATCCCATCTTCTCACTAGCAAATTTATTTTATTCCCTCCCCCTCAGGTGTTGGAGGACAATAAGCAGTGGTGGAAGCTGCTCAACCGGAGCGGGCAGGCTGGTTACGTCCCGTATAACATCCTGGATGTGGTGAAACTGGAAGAGCTCGAACAGGTCTGTCTGGAGTCTGCTATTTCACTGGGAGCCGGGCATAACCAGCCTCCCCTGTCTGGAGTCTGCTATTTCACTGGGAGCCAGGCATAACCAGTCTTCTTGTTAGAGCTCCCTGGATTTGTTAGGATGCTGTGCACAAGTCGGGATGAAGCCTCAGGAGCAGACAAAGGCAGGCTGTGGTTCATCACCTCCGCTGCTGAGAAACCCTGCTGCTGGGAACAGGCTGAAAGAGCCAACGCGGCCATAAAAGGCAGATTTTGCCAGGAAAACGCTGAGATTTTTGTTGGGAGTTAAATTAAAGGCAGACAGGTCCCTCGTGCAGTTCAGCTGAGCAGCAGGAACAAGAGTGGAGGCAGATGGAGATACCATCTCAGGGTGCAGCTGAATGATAACACCCTGGCACCTTTGGCAGGAGGCACTCCTGATTTACTACTTTTTTAATTGCAAAAAGACAACACAAACTCAATCACTGGAAAAAAATATATGGAGAAATGGGCAAATTAAGTAGGAAATATGAGTTCTTCAGCACCCCAGCTCTGTTTCCCTCCCCGAGATACTCTCCTGCTCATCAGTAGGATAAATTCTGACACTTTTCAGGAAAGGCTTCAGTCCTGAATTGCAAACGATCTGTTTGCCAGCTCCTGGCCTCGGTGGTGTTATTCTGACAACTTCCCATTACCGTGTGCTTTATTTCCACTCCCCAGAAATCCCATCTTCTCACTAGCAAATTTATTTTATTCCCTCCCCCTCAGGTGTTGGAGGACAATAAGCAGTGGTGGAAGCTGCTCAACCGGAGCGGGCAGGCTGGTTACGTCCCGTATAACATCCTGGATGTGGTGAAACTGGAAGAGCTCGAACAGGTCTGTCTGGAGTCTGCTATTTCACTGGGAGCCAGGCATAACCAGTCTTCTTGTTAGAGCTCCCTGGATTTGTTAGGATGCTGTGCACAAGTCGGGATGAAGCCTCAGGAGCAGACAAAGGCAGGCTGTGGTTCATCACCTCCGCTGCTGAGAAACCCTGCTGCTGGGAACAGGCTGAAAGAGCCAACGCACCCATAAAAGGCAGATTTTGCCAGGAAAACGCTGAGATTTTTGTTGGGAGTTAAATTAAAGGCAGACAGGTCCCTCGTGCAGTTCAGCTGAGCAGCAGGAACAAGAGTGGAGGCAGATGGAGATACCATCTCAGGGTGCATGAAGTGGAATATTGCTCTCCAGCACCTTGCGTTGCAAAACCCGTGGAGCTGGAGAGCTTTAAATGCCCTGAGGAGGCACAGAACTGCTTCCCCACTTCAGTATTTCACAGCTTGGGCAAAGCATAAGGTGCCCCAGCAGGCCTATGGATAAAAACCCTGTTAGTTTAATCAAAATGTGGAAAAAAACCTCTTTCCAGGCTGCTCCAGGCGCTTGGCAGTGGTCCCACTTAACATCTAGTTACCAGAGCGGCTTCAAATGGGATTTCTGGTTGTTTTTATATAAAAATCCTCTCACTTCCCTCGCCCTCCATCCCCAAGGAAACCCTATAAGCAGGACTTTCTGTGTAGTAAAAAGGCTGAAGGGCCTCACGCAGGTGGGAGCAGCGACCCACAGCAGCAGTAAGCGAGCACGAAACCCCCTCCTGATGTTTTTCAGGGGTGTAAATACCTTCACCCCGTCTTTGGCCTTTGGTTCAGGTTCTGTTTGTTCTCTTGAGACCCCAGAAATGAACTTTTTCCATGGAGCTCCACCTGAGGTCTGGAGCAGCTCCGGATCAGCACAGGGGCAACATGGCAATTTGTCCCTCAGTCTGCCATCGTGGCTGGGAGGCAAAAAGTTTAAGAAGATGAAAAATGGCAAAATAATCCTTACACGCGTCTTTTTTTTTTTTTTCTTTCTTTCTTCTCACCTAGTCTAACCAGAGGTACAAAAGCGACCCCAGGGGATACGGACCATCCAGCCCAACTCACAAGCTCCCTGCCAGCTACGCCGGGGATAAATGGGGCAGCGAGATGTTATCGCGTAACTCTCCCCAGGATGCCAAAGAACGTAGGTGTCCCCCCCCGTGCCCCCCACGTCTGCCCACCTTCTGCACCACACACAGCAGCCTCGGGCAGCCAGGGAGCTCAGCACCACGGCTTTGCCTCTTGGGACTGGATGGAGAGGGCCCAGAGGAGGGCCACGAGGATGATCAGGGGGATGGAGCACCTCTGCTCCGAGGACAGGCTGAGGGAGCTGGGGTTGTTCAGCCTGGAGAAGAGGAGGCTCCGGGGAGACCTAATAGCAGCCTTCCAGTACCTGAAGGGAGCCTACAGGAAGGCTGGGGAGAGCCTGTTTAGAAAGGCCTGCAGTGACAGGACGAGGGGCAATGGCTTCAAGCTGGAGGGGAACAGCTTTAGACTGGAGATGAGGAGAGGGTTCTTCACTGGGAGGGTGGTGGAGCACTGGAACAGGTTGCCCAGGGAGGTGGTTGAGGCCCCATCCCTGGAGATATTCAAGGAGAGGCTCGAGGAGGCCCTGGGCAACCTGGTCTAGTTGGGGGTGTCCCTGCTGACTGCGGGGGGGTGGGACTAGATGGCCTTTGGAGGTCCCTTCCGGCCTGGGCAATTCTATGATTCTATGACTTGACCGAGAGTCTATGATTCTATGATTCTAGGATTCTATGACTTGACCAAGAAGCTTCTGTGAGGTTTTCTTTCTTTCTTTCCTGTTGCCAGAACGGTCTGGCCGCTATTTTTGGTCGCTGTGTGCGTGTAACCAGACCTACCTGAGGGTGTTCTCCCTCAAAAGGCTCTGCACAAGGAGTGACTCCACCTGGTAGTGATAAGCACTAGACCAGCGGTGGCTTTGGAGATCTGGACGAGATTCCAGGGAGTACAACAGTCAACGGGGCAGCTCTGAGGAGCTCTCAGGCAGCCTGGGACAAACAGGGCAAAACGCTGATCACCTCAACCCTCCTTCCAGCTTAGAGATTCATAGAATGGTTTGGGTTGGAAGGGACCTTAAAGCCCCCCAAGTGCCACCCCCTGCCCTGGGCAGGGACACCTCCCACCAGACCAGGTTGCTCCAAGCCCCCTCCAACCTGCCCTTGAACCCCTCCAGGGATGGGGCAGCCACAGCTTCTCTGGCCAACCTGGGCCAGGCTCTCACCACCCTCACACCAAACAAGTTGTCCACATCTCACCTCAATCTCCCCTCTTTCAGTTTAAAACCATTCCCTCTCATCCTATCACTACACACCCTCATGAAGTGTCCCTCCCCATCTCCTTGACCTTCCTCCTCCTCCCAAGGAGAGAGTTTCCTTTCCCCACCAACACATTTAATGGGTCTGAGCAACCACCCACGTTCAGGTCCATCCCTTTCTCTCACTCCCTTTGTCCTTGTCTCCTGCCACCCAGGCAGTGCCCACCTGGCCTCTTTTCTCCCCGTGATGCCAGCGAAATCCCAGCCAGCAGATGTGTCAAACATGAGATTCGCATTTCTCCCTTGTCCTGAGCATGATGCACAGGGTCCCAGAGCATGAGAAAGACCAGGAGGTGCTCACCTCACCCCCTTATCACACCCCACATATGCCTGTAACAAGGTGTCTCCCCAAGACCACAGCCAAGGTTCACCCCCTGTTCAGCTACTGGGGACTCCAGGGAATAGAAGACCTTTTGGGATGATGGAAAGTCACAGAATCATGGAATGACATGGGGTTAGAAGGGACCTCTGGAGATCATCTCCTCCAACCCCCTGCCAGAGCAGGGCCACCCAGAGCAGGTCCCACAGGAACGTGTCTGGGTGGGGTTTGAATGTCTCCAGAGAAGGAGACCCCACCACCTCTCTGGACAGCCTCTTCCAGGGCTCTGCCACCCTCACAAGAAAGAAGTTCCTCCTCATGTTTAGGTGGAACTTCTTATCTTCCAGTTTGTGCCTGTTCCCTCTTGTCCTGTCCCTGGGCACCACTGAAAAAAGATCAGCCCCATCCTCCTGACACCCATCCTTGAAGTATTTGTAGGCGTTGAGCAGATCCCCCCTCAGCCTTCTTTTCTCCAGAAGGCTGAAGTCCTGTAGTACGACCATCACGGACACGTATCTATTAATAACACTGAGTTATTCTCCACAGTCTTGAGGAGAATTTCATGGAAAAAGTGACACTAGGTGAGGTGTCACTGGAGTTTTGGGAGTGAGCTGCTCACCCCCGGCTCCTGCTTCCTTTTAGCCTCTTCCATTCAGCTGCACAGCAAGAGTTGGGGCTCCGAGGGCTCGGATCAGCTAATTACTTACTAGGAGTAGCAGAAAGGACTGAAAAGCAGAGGGAGAGGGGCTACAGCTCAAAACCTGGACTCAAATTGTAGGTACTCACAGAATTGGCCTCCCACACCAGGCGACAGCGAAGGGGCAATGGGAAGAAAATTAACAGCAACACAGAGGCACCAAAAAATGGGAACCTCATCTCAGAAATGGCCAGGCCTCCCTGACCTCTGCCTTCTCACGCGCTTGGGGTTTTTTATCCCTCCCTGCTGCTCAGTTTGCTGGGCAATTTCCTTATTTCAATAGCCCGAAGGGAACTAAGGAACTCAAAAACAGGAAGATGACAAACCAAAGCAGAAACACAACAGCAGACATCAGGGAAAAGGGACCTTGTCCCTTGTCACCTCTTGACAGCAGTGGTGGGAGCAGAGACACAGCCAGGTCAGGTTTTACACCCATGAGCAAACTCTTGGTGTTGCAGGGTTTGATGTCCTTGGAGTGATGTGCAATGAACAGGCCAGAGGTGCAATGAACAGGACAGGGTGGCAACACGAGAAACAAGATCCATCCCAGTATAAATTTGTAGATGAAATAGGTGAAAATAGAGGCCCTTACCAGCCCCCCCTCCCCGCAGGCACCAGTCACACAAAGGAATGTGTCCTCATCTGAATGTTCTCCTATTATGATGCTAAACATGACCCCCTTTTTTTTCCCCAAGAAATGCTTTTGACCACAAATTCTCCAGGCAGACTGATGGGTAGCCTGGCTCCTGTTGGCCAAAAGCAAACACCTCTGGAGATGCGAGTTCTCCTCTCCCACACCAGACCAGTCTCTACTGGGTTAAACAGGGGAGTGTGTGTGTGTTAAATGGGACAGCTGGGCTGCTGGTACAGACCATGGTAGAGAATACACTTCCCTCTAGAAATTCAGCTTATCGATCCTGCTCAACAGCAGAACCAGAGGTTTCCTTTCTCCCAGGAATAGCAGCAGTTGTTCCAAGACTCCCCAATTAGCCTAATGGACGCTGATGAAGCGATGAGGCCAGACTCTCAGAGATGCAGTTGCATTTACCAGGAACGCTGCCAGAAACCCTTAAGCAGCTTTTTAGCTCCAGCCATGGCTGTGTGGACAGCCAGCATTTGGCTGTTATTGTGTGATTCCTCCTCTCCATCATTCTGGAGAAGAACTGCAGAAATCTTTGGGTTTCTCCCAAAGAGAAAGAGAGGTTTCAAAAACTGAAGGAAATTGAGAGTATCGGCCTGGGAGGGAAGGGGAGAGTCCCTCACCCTGCTCCAGCAGAGCCTCCAAAACCACGGGGGTCTCCCTTTACGCATCTGTTCCCGATGCAAGTTTGAAGGTCAAAACATCATTGCTCAACCTATTGCTCTAACAAAGCACTTAAGCGTGTTCTTTAGAACTAAAACACAAAAGTAAGCACTTTCCTTCGGTGTATTTCCAGAATTAATTCTGATCTTCCTCACAATTTCCTGGCAAACACAGTAATTTAATCAGATTTGTGACTGCAGACTGGATTTCTTTCCCCGCTCTCTACCTTCTGTCTTGTTTCCCCAGAACTTATTCATCAAATGGGTGAGCTGAACGATGAGTTGCTAAAGATGATCACAAACAACAAAATCCAGCCCCCCCACAGGAATTTCAAAGTGGAAAAGCCTCAGGAAGTTTTCGTGCCCCTCACCTTCGAATCCAGCACCGAAGAAGTCAAAGCTTGGCTGGAGGCAAAGTCATTCAGTGAACAGTAAGATCTGCTTTGCTACCTTATGAAATGCTGGTCCTTCCTTTAAAAAGGAGTGGGGGAGGCAGCTTAACATTTCAACTGGATTACGAGTCACTCCTATTTACTTACAGAGCCTGTGTTGCAAATTAGATTTCAATCATATTAAACCCAGGCTATATAACCAGTATATTAAAAGCCCAAACTTAATCCCTTTCTTTCTTATGCGTTCAAATAAACCTTGTCTTATGGTGCAACAAGACCCAGGAGTAGGTATAAAGGATTGGTCTTGCTTATTCACACAACTCGCAGCCAAACTCTGCACAAAGTCCTACCCCTGGCCCCGGTGAGCCAGGTCAGAGTGCTGAACTTAGAGAAAAATAACTGATTAACTAATTAACCCATGGCCTGAACGTCCAGGTGACTGCCTGTCTCTGGAGAGGCTCTCCTGAAGTATCTCTGAGGGAGAGCCAGATGCTGAGCCGGGACTAGGAAATCTTCCCAGCCACCAGGGAAGGAGCAAGAAGCTGCAGGTGGTGGAGGGTGAGGAGCTGCAGCTCCCCCTCTGCACAGTGAGCCAAGAGGAGCTCCAGGATTGCTCCCCAAATGCCACGCAACCGGGGTGAAATCGCTGCAATACCCAGGGGACTGGGGACACCGTGGGTGATGGCTCCACCTGCTCCTCCCACAGCTTGGGTTACCCAACGGCAGCCACCTTGGCACAAGGGATACAGTCCTGGTCCTGCATTTCAGCTGCTCCCAGCCCTTTTATCTCTGACTCCTCACCCCTGGCAAGAGGCCACGTGTGACACGATTATCATCTCCTCGCTTTGTGTCTTCCCAGGACAGTGGAACACCTCGGCATCCTCACTGGAGCTCAGCTCTTCTCCCTCAACAGAGAGGAGCTGAAGAAAGTGTGCGGCGATGAGGGGAACAGAGTGTACAGCAAAATCACAGTGGAGAAAAACCTACTAGAGGTAAGGAGCTTTCTGCACAGCTACCTGAATGGGTGCCATTAACAGGCCAGATATCCCATTCAACAGATATTTTAAGAAATACAATTTAAAAACCAAAATACCCCAAACCCACACAACTAAAATACCACACCACCTAAAAATGCTGAGAAGTCTTTTAAGGTAAAAGGCCCCCAATCTGAAAGGCAGATCACCCCGTCTCCTCTGGCGGGTCTGCCTGCTCACCGGTATTGCTCAGCCCTGTGAAACTACCTCTACTTCTACAGCATGAGTTAAATGTTGTAATTTAACTCCAGCTCGAAGTTAAAATTCCAACTTCCTCTTTTGTTTCCATTCTAGAAAAGCAGAGGGGAGTCGGAGCTCCAAGAAATCATGAAGCGTCGCCAGGAGAGGATTGATTCCGCTAATTAAAATCTATCTGCTTTATTTCAGCTATTAGTCATAGTAGTACAGAAAAAGGGAATGAAAGTGATGATCCCCAGTCCAGGCAAGAGACAGCAGTGCTCCACACTTGGCGGTCTAATTGCCATCAAAGTGACAATTTCTTGAACACTGATAAGGGTAGACGATAAGACCATGTCCCATTGGGAAAGGTGTTTTAATATTGCATGAAGTATTTTTTTTTTGTTTTTATAACTATATATTTTATACTGAAATTTTATGTGCACGCCATCAGAGCAAGATCATTAGTCCCACGTGTCTGAACGTATGACAATGGCTGGGTTCAAGCAAAAAAGAAAAAAAAGACCCCACAAAGCTTTTCTCAAAGGGCTGTACCTGCTCCCACCCCCCAGCCAAGGGGGGCTCGGGAAGAGAGGACACAGCACATGGCCCAGAACAAGCCAGCCTGATGCTTAGAGAGTCTGGACCACAGAAATAAGTCTTTTCTCCCATTTCTCATTTCATTCTCTGTGGCAGATACCCCCAGTAGCCTTGTGACTATTCACTGTCCTTCTTCTGTCCCCCTGTGCCCCCTCGTTGGACGAGGAGGCTTGAATTGCAACACACATTACCTAGGGCTGGCTGCTGAACACATGGACCAGTCAGTGCTGTCATTGAACACTGGAAACGGGGCTTTTCTTGCGTAATAACGAGCAGGAGCCGAGTGACAAGTGATTTGAAGCCACAAATAGGTGAGCTCAGGCTGATCATCCCCGCTTACGCAGAGGCCGGGGCTCAGGGCAGCCCTTCACCTTGGCCACTGATCCTCTCTCGGAAAGTTGCAGGATTAACAAAGCCCGGCCTCAAACAAGGAGAAGATAAACCCCTGCCCGTGTGCTCCCAGCCCAGTCACACCCAAAGCCCTTCCTGGGTGTTCACCACTCACCCTCACATTTTCCTTGCAAAGAGCAAGCTGAAATGCTTCCTAAATATCTGAGAAGCACACTTGAAAAGGCTGGTTTAATGCAAAAAAAAAAGGCCACAAGAAAAAAAAATAATCATCTAGTTTAATAGAGGCGATTGTTCTTCCTGTTTTTTCTTAATAACATTATGTGCATATGTATATATCTATCTAGTGAAACACCCTCTCGCTCTTACAATCTACACACAGGGACGAGGAAAAAAAAAAAAATCCCTTTCCCTAGAGACATATAATTAATTGATTATGTATCGATAATTTACTGAAAGTTTTAAAAGCTCAAGCAAGCCTGTCGTGGTTTTCCTGTCCACAGCAAGTTTGGCACACGCTGGATTTTGATCTACATTCTACTTGCAGACCAACTTGATAAGAATGCAGGAAAGCAAACACACCTACAGGGACTGCTCGCAGAGCGGGGAGACTTTGTCTTTCTCTCTTGTTCACCTCGGTCAAATGAGAATTCAGGCCCAAACTCCACAAAAACTTACACATGTGCTTTCCTTTACGCGCTGCCCGGTCTCACCTCTTGGCAAGGCTAAGCACGTGCCTAAGTCTTTGCACAATTTGGGCCTGTCCTTGCACGTTTAACAGCAAAAGCTGTGAAGCAGCAGCTGGGGAACACGTGTCACGTCTGAGAATACTGATGCACCTCTCAATTTTGGCTTTGTTCTTCCAAAAATATTTCTAAGGGCTGATATATTTTCTTAATCTTGAAATAGGACACTGTTAGCAGCAGCAGAACTAGGGTGCAGGCAAGGAACTTCCAGAGGAGGATTTTGTTTTTTAGTCACAGCAGCTGGAGTCTGCAAAGGGCACTCACCTCGTCAGGGAGGGATGAAGAGGACAATCCTCCTGAGAAGCCCTGGCTCTGGATTAGGGTGGGGATGGGAAGCAGGGTGGGAACGCTGGCAAACCATTGGTGTTAGAAGCACAGGAGGCTGAATGATTTCTAAAATGCAAATAGAAACAAGTGGTGAGCTAGGAAACACAGCACCGCTCTTGTCTTTGGGTATAAAGGAAAACAAATTGCACAGAGTAACAGTTACTTGGGATGAGAGTAGAAGCCCACGTGACAGGTCTGTAAAGCCGGGAGCCACAGGAGCATTCCGTAAAATAAATATCTCAGTAGACCTTACTGCAGAAGTCACTTTTAAAAATTTCCATATGACTGAGCTGTGCATCTGTTATATTTGTACTGCCTGCAGATAACGCTATGATGTACTGTACATTAATGTAATTGAACGAAGGATAAAATTATATAACCACGCACTGTATAAGATTTATTAAAATAGTTAAGTTATACTTATAACTCTGTCTCTTGCACTTGGATATAAATGAAAGCAACGGGGCACAAAACCAGGGTTAAGGGCTGTTTTTCGTAACAGCTGGTCACTCTAAGACACACAGCAAAGTATCTGAAACCATGTTTCTTTGGTTTCTGGAAGCTGCCATTCACAGAATCCCAGAATCCCATGGGGTTGGAAGGGACCTCTGGAGATCATCTCCTCCAACCCCCTGCCAGAGCAGGGCCACCCAGAGCAGGTCCCACAGGAACGTGTCCAGGCAGGGATGGAATGTCTCCAGAAAAGGAGACGCCACCACCTCTCTGGGCAGCCTCTGCCAGGGCTCTGCCACCCTCACAGCAAAGAAGTTCCTCCTCATGTTTAGGTGGAACTTCTTATCTTCCAGTTTTCGCCCATTTCTTCTTGTCCTGTCCCTGGGCACCACTGAAAAAAGCCTGGCCCCATCCTCCTGACACCCCCCCTTTCAGTATTTATAGGTGTTGATCAGATCCCCCTCAGCCTTCTTTTCTCCAGCCTAAAAAGACCCAAGTCCCTCACCCTCTCCTCATGAGGGAGAAGCTCCAGGCCCCTCATCATCTAATCATCAAAAGGAAGGATGTTAATGCCTTGGTAATCATTCACATGTGAAAAGAGGGGTAGGTGAAAAAAGCCACATGTGAGAGTAATCAAGGTGTTGATCAGATCCCCCCTCAGCCTTCTCTTCTCCAGACTAAGAAGTCCCAAGTCCCTCAGCCTCTCCTCATCAGAGAGAAGCTCCAGACCCCTCATCATCTAATCATCAAAAGGAAGGATGTTAATGCCTTGGTAATCATTCACATGTGAAAAGAGGGGTAGGTGAAAAAAGCCACATGTGAGAGTAATCAAATACCAGGAAAGCTACCAGCTGAATCCAAAACATCCCCTTTCTCATCAGCCTGGAGAACAAACCTTTCCTACCTCTGGAACATGCAACTCAGACAACACACCAGCATTTACATAGATACTGTCCAAGGCCACATCATGCACTGGCAAACCAGAACCACCCAGGGCTGGTCAGCCCCAGCTAACACAAGGCAGAGAACAAAGGAAAGGGAGGGGACACGCACGGGAGGCTCCCCAGTTCCTTGGCAAAGGGCTCTGGAGACAATGAGAACATGTTTCCCACACCGTCACAGATTCCAAACAGGGCTTTAACGTAACAGCTCTTCCCATTATCTTCTTGGGGTTGAGAAGGTCGTACAAAACCAAATCCCTGTTTATCAGAAGGAGAAATTACTGCGGCAGCTTCCACAGTTGAAACACCACAAGACAAAACAAGGGGACCAGAATCACAGAATCTTCTAGGTTGGAAGGGACCTTAAAGATCATCTTGTCCAACCGTCAACCTAACTGACAAAAATAGACACCCACACAACAAACAAGAAGCAACACCATCACTAAACCATACTTCCCAGCTCTACGTCATCCCGTCTTTTGAACACCTCCAGGGATGGTGCCTCAACCACCTCCCTGGGCAGCCCATTCCAATGCCTGAGAACCCTTTCAGTGAAAAAATTTTTCCTAATATCCAGCCTGAACCTCCCCTGGTGTAACTTGAGGCCATTTCGTCTTGTCCTGTCGCCTGTGACTTGAGAAAAGAGACCGACCCCCATCTCTCTACACCCTCCTTTCAGGGAATTGTAGAGAGCAATAAGGTCTCCCCTCAGCCTCCTCTTCTCCAGGCTGAAAAGGCCAAAGAGCCTGCATATAAAGGCCAAGCAGCAGATTCTCCAGCATCTCCAGCCAAGTCCCATTCCCTACTCCAGAAGCACAACCCTGTTAACGGGACCGCCATCTCTAGAGCTGAAGTGAAGTTCAGGCAAATGACCAGACACAGGCCCCTCGCTGGGCGCAGGGCTCCCTCGGGCAGGGCAGGGCAGGCTGCAGCCACGGCTGTGCTGGGCCTGGCCACGGCTTCGTGAGGAAACGCACCGCCCGGCTCCTGCGGGGGTTAAGGGAGGCGCGGCACGGCCGGAGTCTCGCCCCGGGGCTGCCAAACGGGGCGAAGGCCTCTGGCCCTCCCCGGCCCTCCCACCGCCATCTTATGGCACCGGCGAGGCCCAGCGGGAGGGCGGGCGGTCCGAGGGGCGGCGCCGTGCCCGGCCGCGGGGAGGCCCCACGGGAGCTCCCGGGGACGAGAGGGACCCCTCGGTCCTAACCCACCCGGAGAGCGGCTCCCCCGAGCGCCGCGCTGCCCGCTCTCCCCTCTGGGAGGGCAATGGCGGCCGGGGGCAGCCGCATCCCCGTCGCCATAGCGACCACCCCCCGACCCTCACGAGCCGCCGAACCACCCAATCACAAACTTTCTTCCCCTCCAGGCCCCGCCCCGGCTCCTCCCGGCCGCGTCTTTTTTGCCCCTCTCCGTGCTTCTGATTGGCTGGCCGCCTCCCCTCCGCTGGGCTGGGATTGGCGGCGGGCGGGCGGGCGGCGTGCCCCTCCCCTCCCCGCGGTCGGCGGGTGTCGGGCGCGAGCGATCGGGCGGGCGGCGGGTGCGCGCGCAGGCCGGCTCCCCTCAGGGCACGCAGGGTTCCTTATAGGCGGCGCGAGGGCCCCCCCCTCCCCTCCCCAGAACGGATTATGTCGGTGTCTCCCGTTAAACGGCAGAAGATGGAGTCGGCGCTGGATCAGCTCAAGCACCACACCACCGTGGTGGCCGACACCGGGGACTTCAACGGTGAGGGGGGGCGGCAGGGGAAAGAGGGGGGGGCTCTTGTC